TTGTGTGTGAAATTCTTGGTGAAGTGAAATGCAAATGGAAATTTTGAGGGGAAGAGTTTTGGAGCTGAAAATGGCAGAGTTTTTAGGGGTTGAGAGAGAGGGTTTTGTTTGAGCTGCTGCTGGGGGCTTTACTTGGTGTGCCCTCTGTTTGCTCAGTACAAAAAACTGTAGCTTTATCACAGTAGAGATCATTATAGCTGTGTGAGTGTAGTGTGAGTAAAATTATGAAGCTTTCAACATCAGGGATGGGTCAGCAGGCTCATGAAGGTAACTGTTGTGTCTCATCTTTTCTCTACACGCTACCCTTTCTCCTTTCTGTGGCTTAAATCTTCTCATCTATCTTTCTTTATTATTACTGTTTTTTTTTTTCTCTTTATTTTGATGAATTACCTCTCAGCATGTCATTTTCATTCAAATATTTGCTGTTTGAGTTTTTTGTTGTCATTTTCCTGGAAAAATTTACTAGTAATTCTTCATGAACTTACTAATCTGAGCTGTATTTTTGTTGATGAATTTGTTTATGCCTTATGGAAGGAGATAAGAAGTGCTTGAACTCTGAACTATGGCATGCCTGTGCCGGGCCTTTGGTGTCACTGCCGACTGTCGGGAGCCGTGTGGTTTACTTCCCCCAGGGTCATAGTGAGCAGGTTTTTCTGAGTTATTCTATTGTAATAATATTCTCTTCATTCAAAATGTCTTTGGATGTACTGTTGTGTAGGTCTCTGAGTATGTCCTAACTGCAAATTTTTGGCAGGTTGCTGCCACTACTAACAAAGAAGTTGATGCTCATATACCCAATTACCCGAGCTTGTCGCCTCAATTGATCTGTCAACTCCACAATGTCACGATGCATGTGGGTTTTTTTTCTTTAATATATGGTGTTTTCTTTCCATCTTTAAAAACTAAATCAATTTTGAGCTATTGTGTGACATAATCTTAAAAAGATTTGACTGTATTTTGAATGTTAGGCGGATGTTGAAACTGATGAAGTATATGCGCAGATGACATTGCAGCCCCTGACTCCGGTAAAAAATCCAAAATATATGGCTCTTTCAATGTTATTTTTCGTCTACCATTGACTTGGTTATGAATCTAACGGTCGAGTGCAGCAAGAACAAAAAGATGCTTATCTTCCTGTGGAGATGGGAATTCCCAGCAGGCAACCGACTAATTACTTCTGCAAGACTTTAACAGCAAGTGATACGAGCACGCATGGCGGGTTCTCTGTTCCACGTCGTGCTGCGGAGAAAGTCTTTCCTCCTCTGGTAATGATTTATCTCATGATATGTTCTTTTCTGATATGGTAATAGTGTTGGAGATATTATGAGTTTGCTTTTGCTGCTGCCTTAGGATTTTTCTCAAACACCACCTGCACAAGAACTTATAGCCAGGGATCTCCATGATGTCGAATGGAAGTTTAGGCATATATTTCGTGGTGAGTTTCAATCTTTGGCTTTATCATAAAACTATCTTAATGGCTGAACTTCAGTTCTTGTCACTTTGTAGTTTAATCACCGTGCTATGCAATTGCAACTATTCTAGTGTTCCAAATGTAAGTTGTAGTTTCTTTGCAATTTGAAACGAAGCTGTCTTCAACAACATGCATATGGAGAAGTACATAAACAAAGATATTATGGTGTATTTTAGTTCACCAATATCCGCAAGTGAGCATTGAAATTCGGTAGAAGAATGGAAGGAGCACATTTTTTTTTACTTTAAGGCATTCACATCCAATTTGTTCAAAATACTTGATGTTGTGGTCTCTCTTTATGGCATATTTACAAGTTGCCTGTTGCGAAAGCATATACGGCCCTTCTTCAGCCTTCACTTTTCCATTGCGTGGAATTTAACTCTCGGTCCCTTTTTAATTATGTTGTATTCAACATATTTTACTGTAATATTGAACAATATATGATGCCCAAGATACTTGTCTTATCCATCTTCATAAACGGGATTAAAGTTGCATTCGACATTTTGGCTTTCGTCTATATAAATAAGTGTTGACAATAATATTTTAGTACGAGAGAAGTGCAGAAGTGTGTATTTAAATATATTTTGTACGCATTAATGCAAATTAAAAGTATCAATTTTATGCTTGTCGTTATCTTATATTAAATTTCTCTAAAATTAGATAGACTATATAGATGTTGTCTAAATTTATGTACTATTAAGGGGTGTTACAGAGAAGTGCATAAAAGTTTCTGAGCATATACGCAGATCCTTTCTTCCATCTACATGGTTGTTATCCATGCAAAATCTTACAATTAACATAAAGATCCCTTTCACATCCCATTTCTATTTCCTATTCTTCTAATTTATGTTGCTGCTGCTAAATCAGGTCAGCCCAAACGTCATTTGCTTACTACTGGTTGGAGTGTTTTCGTCAGTGCCAAAAGACTTGTTGCTGGTGATTCTGTTCTTTTTATCTGGTATAGTTTATCCTGTTGTTTTCCCAATTGCAATTTTCGATTTTGTTGTTATCATAAGTTTTTGTGTAATTGATATGGTTTTAGGAATGAGAAAAATCAGCTACTTTTAGGAATTCGTCGTGCCACTCGACCACAAACCGTTATGCCATCATCCGTTCTTTCAAGTGACAGCATGCACATTGGACTTCTTGCTGCTGCTGCTCACGCTGCTGCTACTAGTAGTTGCTTCACTGTATTTTTTAACCCGAGGTGGCTACAAATCTCTCTCCCTCCCTTTCTCTCTCTCTCTCTCTCTCTCTCTCACACACACACACATACACTATTTCTTCTGCTGACCCAAATTTTCTCGCATCAGGGCTAGTCCATCTGAGTTTGTCATACCTCTTTCAAAGTATGCCAAAGCTGTGTATCACACACGTGTCTCTGTTGGAATGCGGTTTCGGATGCTATTTGAGACTGAAGAATCCAGTGTTCGTAGGTACATTAATGCTTAAGTTGTCAATGCGAAATTCAATTCATTTCTATTGTCAAACCATTTAGTGAAGTACAAGTAAACAATTATGTTGTTTGGATGTGGGATGTGCAAGAATATGTGTCGATCATTTAAGATTATGAAAACTAACACATCCTGGACGTCTCCATATGGTTTACTTATTCTCCTTGACTTGTGCATAGATGGTTATGGTGTCTGAATAGTCTTACTCAAATTAGATGGAACCTTAACATTTCTTGTTATTGAGGCGTGATCACTAATTTACTTGAAGTCTACTGTACTTGAGTGTATATCACGGTCTTAGTATATAATAAAGATATGTAACTAGACAACGGCAATTTGATGAATACACATTCGTGATGTAAAATACTTGTTTGTGACATTTTTCGTGCTTTTGTTCTTGGTCTGTTATTCATGAACGATAATGTTACACATCCAGGTACATGGGCACCATAACTGGGATTGGTGATTTAGATCCTGTTCGTTGGCAAAATTCTCACTGGCGTTCAGTTAAGGTAATTGACATTTCTTCAATGCTGAAAGACTGCTGAAGGGTTTGAGATATACATTATTTCATGTCTATTCCTGGCTGATCTCGAAATAGTTCACCTTCTTAAAAGCAGCATGGCGTATCATGTTTAGCATATACAATACACGAATGTGGGAAGCAATGCAATTGAAATATGAATTTGAACTGTCACGCTTCATATTCCTACGACTGCTTGTACTAGTTGATTTTAGTTGAAAGTTCTATATTTATTATTTCTTCAATAACCTTGTAACAAGTCGCTTAAGAATGAACAAGTATACAGGGATGATAATAGTACACCATCATATTAGTTGTCTCTGATTGTTTACTATTATTGTGTGTTTTGTTTAACCATTTTGTTCTGAATCTGCAGGTCGGTTGGGATGAGTCAACAGCAGGTGAGAGGCAGCCAAGAGTATCTTTATGGGAAATTGAACCTTTGACGACATTTCCCATGTATCCCTCGTTATTTCCTCTGAGACTTAAACGCCCTTGGTATCCCGGGGCATCATCTTATCAAGGTATATTTCAATTTTATCTCGAGCAGGATATTTGGAGTTTGTTGTTTGAACGCTCTTATTACTATGCATCACCTCGGAGATGTTTTTGTTTGTCAAATGTCATAGAAAAGAATATATAACATATAGTAAAATTTGAACATGTGCAGCATATTCACCTTTTTAGTTGCCTCAAAACTTCTCGTAAAAGTTTGATATACAAAAGGGCACAATTACTTTCCTCACCAATTTCTTGAGCATATGTCAGAAAACAGTTATACAGACTGATTATAATATATTCGTAAAAGATGCCGACTGCCTTAAGTTGTATTGGAAAAATTTGATACCCGTATTGACTTATACTTAATTAATCTAAAGCTATGCGCTTATCCGATTATCTTTTATACAACAAGTAACTCTGTCAAATTCCAAAAAAGAGAACTACACAGTCATCTACATTCATTATTTTTCAGTTTGCAAGTAGTCATGTAAGTCCATTTTCTATCCACACTCATAATGACAATCTTACCCCTCGGCCGATAATCAGATGCCGGCAACGAAGCCATTAACGGCATGGGGTGGCTGAGGGCCGAAGCCACTGGAGACCAAACCTTCAACCCCATGAGTTTCCAGCCGGTTGGCATGTTCCCTTGGACACATCAGCAGCAGAGGTTCGACCCGACGAGCTTGAGAAATGACCTCAGCCAGCGTTACCAGGCCATGCTGGCAGCCGGCCTCCACACTTACGGAAGCAGTGAGCTCCTCAAACACCACCCTCAACAGTTGCAGCAGCAGCCGAGTCACTATCTCCAGCTAGCTGGTGGAGGCCACAATCCCCCGCACGCGCTCCCACTGCAGACCCAAATGCTGCCGGAGCCTCATCAGCAATCCCCTGCTGCTGACGTGCCTTCGCCGTCGTTCACGAAACTCGACTTTTCGAACCTGGACAGCAAATTTTCCGGCATGCAGGGTGTGTTGGGTGGTAACCTGTTGAATTTCAACGAGCAGGCGGCGGCACAGCAGACTTGGGCGGAAAAATTCGGAAGTGGCTCGGGAGCCAAGTCCATGGAACAGCAGGAGTCTTGTAGCCTGGACGTGCAGAATCAGGAACTTTATGGTGTGGACTCCTCTACCCTAATGCTTCCCACCACTGTTTCTGGTGTGGGTCCTTCCTCGTCAGTGCATGCCGACATGTTACCCATGCAGCTGTTAGGCTCGTCCGGCTATCAGAACCCTCTGTATGCGTACGGGCAGGATTCTTCAGACGTGATGCGGAACGCGGGGCAGGTTGATCAACCAACAGGGGACTGTACCTTTGTTAAGGTGGTAGACTTTTAAAATTGATAGCATTTTTTTTCAAGTATATAGAAATCTTAGTCACTGTTATATTTGGTGTAGGTGTATAAAACAGGATGTGTTGGTAGGTCATTGGACATTGGCCGGTTCAGCAGCTATCAGGAGCTGAGGCAGGAACTCGGGCAGATGTTCGGGATACAAGGGTTGCTTGAAGACCCTCAAAGATCAGGCTGGCAGCTTGTATTTGTTGACAGGGAGAATGAGTTGCTTCTCCTTGGAGACGATCCATGGGAGTAAGTGTCCCACTCATTGTCATTTCATCATTTGTTATACTTTCATTTTTCGCTCTCGTGCATGCAACATGGATATGCACTGGGAACCTCCTTTTATTCGAATGAATGTGTTCTTTGGTTGTGCGAATCGATTTCTAAGGTTTACTGTCTTATATGATCAAGTTTTGGATTTCGAAATTTTTTAGGAAAATTTTCATAATTATGCTATTCAATTAGTTTCAATTTCATATCGCAAATTTCATTTGACTCATTTTCCCTCGAGAAAAAAACATCAATCGATATTTCATTTTTTATATTTTTCATTATTCACGCACCCGTATATTTCTTTTGAAATGATTTACTCAAAACATATTCGCTTTGAGTGATTTAGGCTGCGTGATTTATGTGCTTCCGGAAAATGTTTCTTGTGCTTTGACCGACTATGACAAACAAATGCGCAGGGCATTCGTGAATAATGTCTGGTATATCAAAATACTTTCTCCCGAGGATGCGTTGAAGCTGGGAAAACAAACGGATTCCTCTAACGGAGGCACAGTTGATGAGAGGATAAACAATGCCGATGCCCAGAATCTAGTTTCTGGACTTCCGTCTTTAGGATCTCTCGAGTACTGACACTAAAGTCTATGCGTTTTCCTTTCGGCTCCCAGACATCCAATGCGTTCTCTTGAAATTTCTACAAAGTTTCTCGTTTGTGGACATCTTTACATGTATTTTGTACGTTTGGCTCGTGCTGTTGGGCGTGAGTTGTGTGTGATATTCATAGATCTATGCAAACTCAATACAATGTCGATTAATAGACCTTAAAAAGCCATGAAGACTTCTGTTATGACTTGAGGATTTTCTCAAGAACTCATAAACTAGGTTTCTTGCACAACTACTCTGTGTAAGCCCTTCTTAAGTGTGTGTGTATTTGTTATATTGTATTGAGTATGCATCTAGTATTAAACTTAAGAGTTTGATATGGTATACTATACCAATCACTAAGACCTCGCGCGACCTGTGAGCAGCTCGAGTAGTTCAAGTGGAACCAATGGTTTGGTTAAAGGTTGGACAACATGAAAACTCAAGGTCGTGAGAGTATCAGGTCGATTAGGACCTCAAAGTCAAATCAATCCAACAACAGGTTGAGCTAGGACTTTAGGATAATTTGATGAAAACTCGACCTGAAAGTAAAGAGTAAAGAGGTCGATGGAACACCTAAAAAACAGACTTACTCGGTGAAGATCAGAATAGTCAAGCATAGAAGGAATCGAACTGCTAGCTCGACTATACTTAGAATGACTACTTAATGAGGTAGACTAATGTGAACATACCAAATAATGGGTAAGTGTGAGTATAATTAAGATAAGAAATACACATAGATAAAAGATGCACTAATGTGATCGGGTAATTCTGGCACTCGGTCAGATCTTGGACAGCAAGGCAACATCTCTATTAAAAGGGGTTAAAAGGGGTGAGGTATTATCATCATCTATCTGCATACTCTGAATATTCTACACTTACATACACCATATTCTACACTTGAGTGTCGAAATTTCTACGTCGGGATAATCCGAACGTCGTTTTGCAGGTAATTCAAGGCTTCAAGCGATTTAATTACGGTTCCAGAGATGTCGAACCGAGGTTCTTTACACACCAGAGTTATAAAATCTAATCCGATTAAGTTTGATTGCACAATCTATTTGACTTGGATCACAATTCATAGAATATGAGTAGTTTGGAGGAACTATTAATTAATGGAGATAAACTTAATTTAAGTGGTAAAACGCATTTTCCCGAGCAAGCAGATCCGAAACGATGTTCCATGAATGTAGAGGGCTAATCCCTTCCCTTATATATTAATTCAGAACGTGAAGAGTATAAGGGACAGACTCGCATGTTTCGGGATTTTATGTGACAACATATTATTAGGCTTGAGTAAATTTTAATTTACTTTCAATCCAAAAATAATTAAGGTCCGGATTATCCATAAATATATTGATTATTTATAGTCATGTTACATGTATTAATTGTATTTTAAATTATTTCTTATTATAACCGTTGAATTGTAAATGTATTTTAAAATTTAATAACTTTTGTATTTTTTTTTATCAGTTTTACATATATAATATATCAAATTAATCATCTTTGATGAACTTCGATTTAACATCTATATTGTATGTATAAAAAAAATAAATTATAGTTATGTTTATAACAATAACAAAATTATATTTTAATATTAATTAGAAAAAATAAACTCTTTTCACAATTCAGTAAATTACATTACACTCTATTTTTGTTTCGAATAATTAAAATAAAAAAAAAATCAAATAAATAAATAAATAAAAACGATTCAAATAGGCGGATGACTGTATAAATAACATCGTGTTTTTCATTCCTTTTTTGCTTTTCTTCTAAGAGAGAGGAGAAGAAAATCGAAGAGGTTCGAGTAGAAAAGCATCTCATCAATGGTGGGAGTGCTGTCTAACAAGATTGGGAGAGACGAGCTCAAGCCCGGAGATCATATATATTCATGGAGGCACTCCTATCTCTACGCACACCATGGTAAGCTCGCCGCTCACCTCTTTCTCTAGGTTAGATGTTTGCTACATTTGCTTCAAAACACTATGGTTGCGATAAAACTATGTTATCCACATCAAATAAACGTATCGCCGTGTTCGAAAACAAGTATTTTTCAGTTTCGGTGTTAGCTGCAATTTCGCTGTCCAAGTACTGTTTTCGATTGATTCAATTGAAACCCCTTTTTTTCTTAGGTTGCTTTGCTCGATTGATCGATTGTTTTTTTTTTAGGTTAATTTGTTTGATCGGTGTGATTGGTGGGCACTTGAGATGAATGGAGAGTTTGATTTTGTTCTACATGAGTACTGATGGCTGATTTGGGAACTGATTATCAAATTCGTTTCGATTTCTCTCTAGTTTTTCAGAATTTGGATTCACATTTTTTGTTGCAGGGCTGATGATTGATTATTCACTTAAGAATTGAATACAACAACAATAACAACATACCCAGTATATTCCCAATTGGTTGGGGTCTGGGGGGTCAGTTGTACGCAGACCTTACCCTTGTAATTATACAAGGAGGCTGTTTCCGTAGCGACCCAAGGTGCATTGCGTCGTTTGATTTTTTTTTTCTAGAAACTTCACCAATAGAAGAAGCACTAGAATTTAATTGAGCCATTTTGATCTAGTCCATTATTAGCACTATGTCAGGAGAATTGTCAACAATGACTCTTCTAGCTCCATTTGCAATGGACACTTAAGAATTGAATATTGAAAAGAAAAAAAAAAAATTCTCCTTTAGTCCAAAGGGGATGAAAGATGAACATATAGAACATGATTGAAACAGGACATTTTTTAAACTACTGAAGAAAACTGCTGGTTGGATCGTGCCGGTTTATATTTGACTTGGAAGTACCTGTAGTTCATGCTAAATCTTACAGTGATTCCATTTTTCCCTATGACATTTGGTGAGCTTTTTGCAACTCCATCAATCCCTCTTTGACATTTCAAATCTTGTATTTGTCTGCTACAAAATTAAAAAAAGGTGGGAATTTTTACGTGTTATATGTCCAGAAACATCACCTTAAGCTGCCGCAGCTGTAACTTTCTCGTGACTCTAATATTCTGTGTCATCAAATAGATACGAACACTACTGGAGTAGCAATAGACCGAAACTCGGAAGCCTGAGTTATCTTTTTAGTTTTTTGTTTGTATTTTGTAGGTTTGCTTACTTACCTAATTAGTTCTTTGTCTTTGGCTAGAGTATGTTTTGTTCTATCACTTGATAATAGGAAGAAGAAAGGATCATGCCGAAGAAATTAAAAACAGTATATATATACGGAGGACAAAGTTTCTTTCTCTATTTTTTGAACTAAAAAGCACTCGATATGGCTATGTTGCTGAATTTGGCCAAATGCTTGCATGATAGATGAACTGGAAAAAATAAGTTTCAGTATAATGGGGAGGCATCTGCAACAAACCTTAAGGAACCTTTTACTCCATATAAAAATTAAGAAGGAATGTGTTGTACTAGCGCCTAGTTTTGCTGCCTTGTTATTGAAAAAGGACCATCCTGCTTTTAAATGGGTACAATACTCCTATTATCTTTTTATCTTTTTGTTTATTTGCTTATTTTCCTAACCATATCATCCGTGAAGTTATTTATGGCACTGCAAATTGATATTGCAACAAATGTTCAATACAGCCTCATACATTCCATCTTTTTCCTCTACATGTTTGTTTATCTTTAGTGGTCGATTTCTTCGATTGTGTGCTAAATAAAATAGTTAGGGTAAATATTTTTTTCCAACCTATACTATACGTGCTTTTGGGATTTTCAACCTAAAGTATTTTTGGTTGTAAAATGCAACCTGAACTACATATACATTCACTATTTGCATGCTCGACCACATCTTGACTATACACATGTTCTTTTTTGCAGATGATCGGACGGTCAAAAAGTAGTCGATGGTGCAAATATTGTATATATGTAGTTTAGGTTGCGTTTTACAACAAAAAAATACTTTTGAAAATTTCAAAAGCACGTATAGTACACGTTGGAAAAAATTATTTACCCAAATAGTTAAATTGCCATACTAAAATATTACACCCATAATCCCCCCTGAAGTACACTTATGCCGGACCCCCAATAAATAGCTATGCATGGCCATGCTTCCTTGAAGGAAAAAAAGGAACATTACATTGCTTCAAATACTTGGAAAAACTTTTGTGAAATTTTGGTCTTTCTACCAGGAATATACATGGGGGAAGAGAAAGTGATCCACTTCACACGTGGGGCTGGGCACGAGATCGGAACTGGGACCGTCTTGGACCGTTTCATCTTCAGCTCATCCCCAACTAACAAATCAGGCCTCACCTGCCCGGCCTGTGGCGACCAGTCAAAATCTGACGGCGTAATCTCCTCGTGCCTCGATTGCTTCCTCTCGGGTGGGGACCTTTACCTTTTCCAGTATGGCGTCTCGATCCCTGTTTTCCTGGCCAATGCTCGAGGGGGCACATGCACCCTGGCCAACTCCGACCCGCCAGGTGACGCTGTACACCGGGCTGAATACCTCCTCCAGAACGGGTTCGGGGGATACAACATCTTCCGGAACAACTGTGAGGACTTTGCCATCTACTGCAAGACGGGCCTGCTTGTTTTTACCACGGTCAGTGTGGGCCGCAGTGGCCAGGCGGCGTCCTTCCTGGCGGCCGCCAGCGCATTCGTGTCGGCCCCGCTCAGGTTCATGACGACGAGCTTTTCGGGGCTCTCGGTTGTGGGATGTGGTGTCTACTGCATCAGCCGGGTCGTGTCGGATATCGGGATGAGGAGGGACGTGACGAAGATCCCAGTTGAAAGGCTTGTTTCGCGGGCCGGGCTGGATGAGCTCGGAGGGACAGTGGAGGACGCCAAGGAGAAATAGCGTGTGCTCGGATTCATGGGGGTGCTATTTGTAAAGATGATTTGTGCAACTATTTAGTACCTTATTTATGAATTTGTTGTTGAAAGATTATTGTATTTGATACTTAATTTTGTACTTTGTGCTTGGTTCCACCATTCGTGTTTGGAGATTAAAATTTTGGGGTGTGAAATGGGGAAGCTTTCATTTTATTTCACCAAACATATTATTGTGGAACAATTTATATAGAGAGAAAAATTGTAGATTTTGCAAGTAGATAAAATTAGTCAAGGGGGCGTGTGTTACTTTGTAGAACACTACCAACTCTATCTTTTGAATTGTAGGTTACATTGATTTAACAATGACAGTTGCCAACTCACATGCATATACTTGCAATTTAATATTCAATGAAACTTTGTGCTATGAAAGTGGATAAAAAAGAAAGGCCCCATTTTGGTTGACAATCATACACGTACATATTGTAATATCGCGTGTCGATACCGCAATAAAAAATTTGAGTAGTTGAGAATTTTTTCTAATCCTAATCTCTTTTGTTGCCTCGTCATCTTCACAATTTGTAAAAGGACACTAAACTCACGAAAAAAGTCTCGATGAAACTCAAGTGAGATATCATCTCAAAACTAATTGGTGGAAAGAGTAGTAGCTCATTAGACTTATAGATTAGGTCTATTTTTCCTGTATAAACGATGTGAGACAACTCACAAGTAAATATTCTAATACGCGCCATAACTTGTGAGTTCTTCATAAGAAACACAAACCCAGATTCGGGTGCCTAAGCCCTACTAGAAACGAGTTGGATAAACGGTTACGTCATCGCACGGTTCCAATAAAACCTGTCTCGGATACCAGAAAGAGGGGTCCCTTAAATAATTTTTGTAATAAATGTCATTGTCTCAATATTAGGTAATCAATGGTCATGATCTCTAACCAAAAAAAAAAAAAATATGTTATATATTACATTTTATGTAATCAAAATAGAGATTTATTTATAGTTAAATAATTTATATTTATAATGTTTATTATTAAGAATCAAATTTGTAAAATGAGATATCTACATTATCTATTTTATAATTTTATTTTTATATATACACATAATTTTCAATACTTTATAATTTGTAATTTATGTTTATTCATGTGATTAATATCAGCTACTAGTTTCTACAAACATGTAACATGATTCATTACAAATTCACAAGCAATAATGCCACTTAAAAAAAAATAGGAAGGATTACTATCAAATTTGGAAGGTTCACTGTGGGAACTAATTTCCGGGAAATTTCCTAACACCAGACGCTACTGGGCCCCACAACGAACCAAAAAAGGGTCAGCTACAGCCTATTGCGAATCTTGTAGGCGGAGGGTCCCATGGCCCTTGCCTCCTCCCTCAGCACAAACTTTTGTATCTTCCCGGTCGACGTCTTGGGCAGCTCCGCCCGAAACACCACCGTCCTCGGCACCATGAACCCCGGCAGCCTCCCCCTGCAATACTCCATCACCTCCCTCTCCGTCGGCCTCTTCCCTGTTCCCTCCCTTACGCTCACAAACGCGCACGGCGTCTCCCCCCATACCTTGTCCGGCCTCGCCACCACCGCCGCCTCCGCCACCGCCGGGTGCCCGTACAGGACCGCCTCCACCTCCACGCTGCTTATGTTCTCCCCTCCCGATATTATTACGTCCTTCGACCTGTCCTTGATCTCCAGGTACCCGTCCCCGTGGACCACCCCAACGTCCCCCGTCCAGAACCACCCGCCCCGCATGCACGCCGCGGTCCCCTCCGGGTCCTTCAGGTAACCAAGCATCACCGACCCGCCCCGGAGGACCACCTCCCCCAGCGTCCGCCCGTCCCTTGCCACGCTCGCCCCAGTTGCCGGGTCAACCACGTCCGCCCCGGCCATCCCGGGGGTCCTGACCCCTTGTCGGGCTTTCAGCCGGGCACGCTCTCCGGCCGGCAGCTGGTCCCAATCCCGATTCCACGTGCAGCAAACCACGAGCCCGCCCGTCTCCGTCAGCCCGTAACCGTGGCTGACGTCGAACCCCAGGGACTCCGCACGCCGGAGGACCTCCGCCGGGGGCGGCGCCCCGGCGGTGAGGATGCGTACGGGGCTGGAGAGGGGGCGGCCGCCGGCGGAGGAGAGCATGTTGAGCACTACCGGGGCGCCGCACATGTGGGTGACGCCGTGGCGGTCGATGGCGGCACGGACGGCGGCGGCGTCGAACCTCCGGAGGCAGACGTTGGTGGCACCGACGGCGGCCATGCCCCATGTGTAGCTCCAGCCGTTGGCGTGGAACATGGGGAGGGTCCACAAGTAGACGGGCTGCTTGGGGACGGACCACTCGGCCAGGGAGTCCACGGATACCAGGTAAGCTCCACGGTGGCAGTGGACCACCCCTTTCGGGGCGGAGGTGGTCCCAGAGGTGTAATTCAGGGTAATCGGGTCAGATTCGCTCTCGGGTCGGATCCAATCGAAATTCGGTTCTCCGCCCGAAATCAATCCCTCGTAATCCGCGCAGAAATTAGCGTTTCCAGCTTCCGGAGGCGAGCTATTGGCCCCCGATTCGCCGTCGCCGGCGATCCTCACGAGCAGGGGCCGCTGGGATTTTTGGGGGAAGAGGGAGAGGGCTTCGAGGACGACCGATTCGGACTGGAAATCGACGAAGACGAGCTTAGACTCCGCGTGGCGGAGGATGACGGAGATGGTGCGGGCGTCGAGGCGGAGATTGATGGTGTTGAGGATGGCGCCGGCCATGGGGACGGCGAAGTGGAGCTCGTACATGGCCGGGATATTGGGGGCGAGCACGGAGACGACGTCGCGCCGCCTGATCCCGAGTGAGGATATGGAGGACGCCATCCTGAGGCAGCGGCGGCGGGTCTCCGACCAGGTGTAAGAGGCGGAGTTGTAGACGACGGCGGGGGAGTCGGGGTAGACGGTGGCGGCGCGGTCGAGAAAGCCGAGTGGGGTCAAGGGGGTGGAGTTGGGGGGGCTTGGCTTGAAGTCGTCCATGGTTGCAGAGAATAGATTGCTTGATTGATGGAGATGATGAGTTTAATGAGACTGATTGAATGGTGATGATAAGGTTAAATGGGACATGACGATGCCTACGATAATTTATTTTAATGTTTTTAAAGATTTTATGGGAAATGGTGCAATCTCGTTACAAAATTATTTCGTAAGGCTTTATAACCGTTAAATTATCATATAATTGTCGGGATTAGTTGATCTAACAGTTACAAACTCGACAGAATAACTTCGTAACAAGACGCATTAACAAGCCAAAAACAGAGCTCAAGTGTAAAAAAGGGGTGTACATATAACACTTTTCTTTGTGTAATTTATTAAAAGGGGGTGTACATATAGCATTGCCCTTCTGTTTTTCTCTAATTATTCTGTTGAAATTTGAGGAGTTCTGATTGTAGACGAACGGCTCCATGGTCCCCACAATGGGGAGAAAGGAAAAGAAGATAAAGAAGGTGGAATTTGGAGCATTGTGATTTGTGGGCAACAAGGTCAACGATTTCATTTTGAATTTTTTTGTAAAATGTATTTTTTTTTTTTTCAATCTTTTTTACAAGATTTTTTAAAATCAAGTGTATGTTTAGGTTATGTTTGGTAAAACTATATGATGAACTAGCTTTTTGATAGTTGATAAGTTAATATATAACTTTATACATAGTGTAATTATTTAATCATCACTTTTAGCAAAATAAAGATCATTTTATATTCAATGAATGTTCGATCTACCCTTGGTAGGTAGCCTCACAAAGATTTTAGCCATTTAAGTACACATATTCATACATATATCACTCAACACCCTTCCTCCGCTTTCTTCTCGGTCATCGTAAACCAACCGCATAGGAGCTCAGTCTTACATAATCTGGAATTTTTGATTTAAATAAAAATTAAACAAAATTGACTGGACAAAAATAAAAAAAAAAAGAAGTGGAACAAAATAAAATAACCGGATTTTGATAATACGTTTTAGAAAAACCGTATTCCCAAAATCCGTTTTTTTATTGTAAACCGTATTCCGAAAATCCGTCTTTGTGTAATATAATTATAAATCGTAATTAAATTGTAATTACGTTAATTAATCATATTTAAAATGAATAAAAACGTATAACCAGAATACGTTTTTCGCAAAACGTATTCTAGTAATACGTTTTCAGCAAAACAACGTATTTCGACAATACGTTTCTTAGTAAAATTAATTTCACAAATTCAGAATTTTTTTTTTTTCGAAATATAAATATTTTTTAAAATATAAGTCGTATTGTGAAAATATGTTTTCATATGAACGTATTTTCGAAATACGTTTTTAGTATGATTTTGCCCCAAATTGATTTTGCCCTAATTTTTGCCCCAAATTGATTTTGAAGGATTTTTTTTTATTTAAAAACGTATTTCAGGAATCCGTTTTTAGTAAAAANNNNTTTTAAAAAAAAAACTCCCAGACTCACACGACCACCCACACGACATAATCACACGGGTCGTGTGACGTCACACGACCCGTTCACGTGACACACGACCCGTGTGAAAAAGACGTAGTCGAATTTCCATTCTCTTGTAGCAACACGACTCGTGTCACCTACTCACACGAGTCGTGTGACCCAACTGCAGCTCGATTTTATCATTTTTCGTCCTTTTACACTTTTCTATGCATATTCAAACAACCAACTACACAAAAATTACACGGGCAAATCAACTAATGTACCATAAGTACCATCAAACCAAGTCCAAATAAATCATACAAACAAAACAAAATAAATAATCCAACGAAATCCAAATGAACAATCCAAACAAATCCAAATAAACACTAAAAAATCTAATCTCCCCACACATCACGAAGTCTAGACTTATCGCTGCCAAAATTATTCATGTTCAGAGTAAATAATAATAATACACTTGTTAATCGATATCTATTCAACAACATTCCACAAGCTCAAATCAATCCATTATTCAAACAAATAAAAACAACCGCAATAATATATTCAAAATATATAGATAACCAAATATCATTCTACATAATCCACCAAAAAAAAAAAAAAAAAGTTCACAAAAATCCCATAATACAAACTAACTAGGAAGGAGTGTACGTATCCGGTGGTCTATGCTGCCGGGACCCCTTCCTAGGAGGTCTATGTCCTGAAGAAGACGAGACTATGTTGGTGATAGGTATAGCAGCTTCTTCTTGACCTGATTAAACATTTAAAAAAAAATTGACTTGACAAAACAAAAAAAAAGGAAATAAAAAAAATATTTTTTTGTTAAGTAAAAAATTATTACCTTCTTCGTCTTCCTCATACTCGGCGGCGTCAGCGGGTTCGCGGACACGACGTCTTCTACCTCCACCAATGTTCAGACCTGGTCGATGCCTCGCCCGATGTGACTGTGTGGCCTGTGGAGGGACGTACTCTTCTTGAGATAGAAGTTGACTAGACGTCCCCCCTTGTCTGACCTCTTGCCCTCCAACAGTCATAGAACTGTAGAGGACGTTTTGGGCCTTGTGCCATGCAGCCTGCACTCTGGATGAGCTGTATCCAATCAGTGCTCAACACCATGTAAGATGTTATAAGCCTCCTCCATGGCACCATACTGGAAA